TGATTGCCACCATTACTAGTATAAAAAAAAAATCCCAGTATACAGTATATACCTCCATTTGTAAATGCTATAATGTTCACGTAAACCAACTTAATTTACACATATTGGGATTTCTTTTAGCAAAGACATGTAGCAGAATACATTTTGGCCTACATTTATGACGAAATTTGATTTTTTAAAATTTTTTTACTGGACATGTTTTATAGAAAAAAGTCCAAAATATAATTTTGGTCAAATACCACCGAAAGAAAGCTCCATTTGTGAGAAAAAAGGACATTAATTTAATTTGTGTGCAGTGTTGCATGACCACACAATTGTCAGTTAAATTAATGCAGCGCCATATCACAAAAAAAATGACCTGGTCAGCAAGGGGGGAAATCCTCTGGAGGGCAAGTGGTTAATTAAAGTGTCCTCAAATGATGCGTATTTAACAGAAGAAAGGCAGAATCAATTTGATCATTTAGTCCCTTGAAGGAAAGGACAAATGATGAATTAACGTATAGGAATTTGGTTCTTTCTTTGGCACTATGCCTAACTGGGAAATTCTAAAATTCTTAAAAGGCAGAAAACTAAAAGGACCTTCTATGCGACCTTCATTTAATTATTTCATAATTTTTTTAAGAACCACCTCCTGTAAAGAAAAAAAACTTTTAGGTTTTCAATCATTCTGCAACCTAAAATAGGAAGTAAAAAAAAAAACGTTTAAACCATTAAGTAGAGGCTGAGCCTTCTGCCTGTCTCAATAAACTAGCAACCATGGCAGTATGTTTTGCCACCTCACTAGGGTTACTGCTTTTTTTAAATAAATCTTTTCCTTGTTGGTTGGCAACAGACATTCGTTTGAAAACACTTAGAGATCGGGTGAGCTCCCACACAAATAGCACATGCATGCCTGTATTTACAAGAGTTTGGCCACTTACATTGCCCATCATTGAAGTTAAAACAAATTCCTGTTTTATAAACTGACCCTGAACTGGCTGGCTGTTTTGCATAAACAGGTTTCTGTGGGAGAAAAAGGTCAAGGCAAAGGCCGACATCCTTTAATCCCCATTTTAAAGCTGAACGAACAACAGAGTTTCTGGCAAAATGACTTGTATGAAAACCAAGCCATATCACCAAAATTCTTGTACGCCTCCAAAATAATATCTAAATGCTGGAAAAGTCCAGAACTTTTTTCCAGAAACTTCTCACATAACACACTAGAAAAGATACAGAAGGCTTGTAACCAGTTGTTAAAGACCTGGTCACAGGTCCTCTCCTGTCATCATCTGATTTATCACTATCTTTTTATCAGATTTTGCAATAAATTCTTTGGCCCAGGGAAGGAGGGATAATATATCAACAAATTCCCCCCTTCCAATCTTTTCTTTCACATACAAAGACAAGTGATAGCCTTAAGGCGACAATTCACAAGGTAACGACTCCTTCAAACAAGTTTCAGGAATGTTTTGTAATCTTGCATTATGAAAACCAGCTGGAATATTAGCAGGTTCCCTAGAAGGCAAAGAAACCTGGGCGTCATTATGAAAAAAGCCACTAGATAGAGCCCAAACTTCAGCAGCAATACTACCAGACATTCCAGAACTATTCAAACCACCATTAGAATTAAAGGTTTTTGCAGGTAAATTCGTAACCAATTGATTCAATAGATCAGAGATAGAGGTCAATAAAGGAATAGAAAGCGATTCACCAGTCCCACTCTGAGAATGTGGAGGCAGTGCCGGTTGAACAGCAGAAGAACCCTAGACAGGAATTGTACCCACATCTGAAGTACCAGGAGGTACCATACGAAGTGCGTTCTGTGCCAGGCTGTGGGTCACCTGATATAGGCCGTTGACACCCCTGGCCCCGAACCGCCAGTCACCACCGGCGTTCTCCACTACCCCGCTGCTTCCCTGACAGGTCCTCTTCCGGGCTGATGTGGGACCCTTTGGGTTCCCTCAAATCCCAGCACCTGAGCAGTGGGGACTGCACAGCACTTCCTACTGAGCAACGAGATGAAGGGGAGTATCTTCGGTGCTGAGTGCGCCTTTTCTTCGCCACCTGCCCTTTTGACTGGAGATGACACTGCCTTCCCACTGGTGACCTGGATCTTCCTCTACAGGTTCCATCTCTTCTTCTGGCGGCATCATGGAGTCCCAGGCACCTTCTTACTCCGCCAGAGATGTCTCTTCAGCTTCCACTATCCCTGACATGGCAGGCACTGCCGCAGGTCCTGCAGGATCAGCTTGCCCCGAAGATCTCGGTAAATCCAGACATCTTCTCTGCCATCTTCTCCTGCTCTCTCGATGAGGTGCCGCAGTAGGCTCATCTTCAGCCCTAGGAGAGATCTCCCTAAGCACTGCAGCTCTGCATTCTAAGGCGAATGAGCTCTGCTAGCATGGAACCCCTTTAAATAACCCTAAATGGGGTTCTAGAATTTTTTAAAAGGTCATGCGACCTCATAAGAGGTCACCTGACTCCTACCAGGACACGTGACTATATAAAGTATCCCTATGATCGCAGGGAGACTTGAAAGTGCCTCACTTGCCGCAGTCCCATGAGGAAAGGGGGGGGAGCTAGAAACCTTCTCCCCTTTTTCCTGTCATTCTTCTACACAAACGTTGCACATGGGACACTCTTGGATTTTCCAGCATGACAATGACCCTAAGCACAAGGCCAAGTTGACCCTCCAGTGGTTACAGCAGAAAAGGTGAAGCTTCTGGAGTGGCCATTACAATCTCTTGACCTTAATATCATTTAGCCACTCTGGGGAGATTTCAAACGTGCTGTTCATGCACGGTGACCAAAGACTTTGCATGACCTGGAGGCATTTTGCCAAGACGAATCCGCAGCTGAACCACCTCCAAGATTTAGGGACCTCATATACAACTATTACAAAAGAGTTCATGCTGTCATTGATGCTAAAGGGGGCATTTAATTTTTTTACTTGTTGCCATGTTTTTTTTATGTTTGTGCAATTCTGTTATGCCCTACAGTTGAATATGAATCCCATTAGAAATAAAAGAAATGTGTTTTGCCTGCTTACTCATGTTTTTATTTAAATGGTACATACTGTATATTACCAATTCTCCAAAAGTATGCAAACTTTTGAGCACAACTATATTGTGATATCAGTTGCATGATCTGAGACTATTGCTGTCACATTCTGGTAGCAGCATGAGGTCTCAAGCAGGCCATACGCGAGTAGAAAATCAAGCAAAAATGTTTGGTTGTTCGTGTTTTGCATCATTACTGTGCCGGCTGTGACATGCGATTTTCATGTCACAATCAAAAGTGTCTGCTCCAACATGCTGGATTTTGTTTAGCAAAAAAAAAAAAAAAAAGTGATGGTACAACCTCATTTTGTTTTTCGATCAACAGAAGGTTAGGTTTTGTCTATGCAAACAAAATATATATATTGTGATGAAGCGCTAAACTTATATAGTGTATACAAACCCTTCTTACATCAATAATATTGTGAAAAATTCCAAAATAAGTGCTTAATTCCCTCTTAAAATTCTATAAAACTATACAAATGACTGGTGCAAATTCACACACATAAATTATATGCCCCCTAGTGGTAAAAAACGTGAAAATTCTAATACAAATGATAACACTTTATCTGTGCAAAGTGATAAGTGTATCCAATTACATGAAATAAATCAAGTAAAACAGTCCAAAGACTTGTGATGCCACACTGTGCAAATAAATAAGTGTTCAATACACAGTGATTATAACTTCACTCCATGCTGCAAATGTGCTCTTCGTGATACTCTGATGTGACTCCCCTGGATTTAGCCAAAATGCCCCCTCACCTTCCACATTCGACCCTTGCGGGTCACAAAGCCTTAAATATATCGTATCTCAGCCAGATTTTCATGCTCCACTGACTCCACCGACTCAATTAAGATCCTCCTCCAAGCAATGAATTCCTCTCAGATCACTTTCCTCACAATATGGACTCATAAACACAGGACGTATCTGGATCCCTGACAGCCTGAGCAAGATCTGTAACCATCTCGGGAACCCCACGAATGCGAAAATTATTCCTGTGATTACGGTTATCCAAATCCTCCACCTGCACCTGGAGAGATTTGGGGGAGGAGATTTGCCTAGGTCCTCCACCAGCTGGTTAGCAGCTCAGGTGAGATAGCCAGAGGGGTCAAATTTTGGTCAGAACTGAGAGACTCTGCAGGTCAGCCCCTCTGGAAATTCCTCCTGCTCTGAAGCTTTCAAGAGGAGAGCCTTGGAGGCAGTGGGTGGATCTGAGGAGTGGCTGACCACACTCTTGAGGGACCTCACCCAATCCCCAACTGGAAGCTTGGCAAGGGGATGGAACTCCCTTAAATGTGGAAGAGCTGGAGGGGTGTGGCGGAAGAGGAGTTGGCAAAGGGAGGCTGGAGGATGGAACTCCAGGAGGCCTTGGGAAGCCTGGAACTGTGGACTCACTGAGAGGTACTACCTGTATGGCAGGGAAGGAGCAGCCCAGCTGATAGTCCTGGTAGCAGCAGCCATTCCGCAAGCAGTACAGGAGAGGATCTGAGTGAGTATACCTGCACTCCCTGGGTGAATAGGGGGAGGAGCACTCTGGTGGGAAACCAGATTAGCCCACTGCTAGTGACTATTACCCATTTAAAGGAACAGGAGCCAGATTGCTGGGTGAAGAGGAGTTCATCTAGGGTCTGAGGTGGTACAACTGAAGCTACTAGCTAGCTCTCCAACAGAGACTGCATCAGAGAAGGAGAAGCTTGTGAATAGTTCAAGAAGTTTTCCTCAATTATCGGTTACCTTGGGCATCCTATATACCCCTTACCCCATCCAAGTTTAATCCCCTCAATAAAATAACAAAACCAACACTCAAGGCATGATTTCTGTCAACAGTGAAAGCTTGTGTGGAAAATGCTAACTGACTGGCTGTGCAGGGCTATAAGGAAATCCAAATTCATCAACAATCCCTAAGGGGGTAGCATTACATTGGTAACAAAAGTGTTTCATAGTTTGTAAAATGTAATACTTACTTTGGGTATAAAGAATCCTTTGAAATTCACATCCTGAGTAGTGGCATGTGGAACGTTTGTTGGCACGATATTGGCAAACCTTTGGATTTCATGGATAACAGCATCAGTATATGGCATTTGTTTTCGGTGTTTTAGTCGAGGCTCTCCAGAACCGATTACTTTTTCAATTTCCTTCTGAACATTTTCTGGCATTGAAGGAGAGACATGCTGGATTACTTCAGGGGTTTTCTATTTTATTTTAAAATATTTCCAGTCATTCACAATCTTTTTGTTAGTTAAAAGATAACAAAGCCATTTCAGGAACATTTTGGTAGACAGATCATTATTGCTAAATAGATTCTTCTGTCTCTTGTGGTTGCTACCTGTCCAGATAAAAACATAGAAACTATCCCTTCTGATTTGTGTTTAAATGTGTTATCTGTATAGGGGATTTAAGTGACTTTGAACGTGGCATGGTTATTGGTGCAAGACGGGCTGATCTACTGGGATTTCCATGCACAACTATCTCTAGGGCAGCGTTTTTTCAACCACTGTGCCGCGCACACTAGTGTGCCGTGAGATATTGTCTGGTGTGCCGTGAGAAAAATTGCAATTTCATCCGTAACATAGACCTTTTAATCCGGCCCGCGGAGCGTGATACTGTCAGGATGATCTGTCCCCCTCGACGTATCTGCGCATGTGCCGGAGATCGCCGATCGGCTGCTAATGCCTGAACTGGCACATGCGCAGATACGTTGAGGGGGACAGATCCTCATAGGAGACAGATTTTCATGCTACACCGGAACGGCGAGAGGAACGCGCGGAGCAAAGGTAAGTGAATTGACACAGGGGGGGCTTGGGGACTTAATATGGGGGATGAATTACTATGGGGGATGAATTACTATATGGGGGATGAATTACTATGGGGGATGAATTACTATGGGGGATGAATTACTATAGGGGGGATGAATTACTATGGGGGATGAATTACTATATGGGGGATGAATTACTATGGGGGATGAATTACTATATGGGGGATGAATTACTATGGGGGATGAATTACTATGGGGGATGAATTACTATATGGGGGGTGAATTACTATGGGGGATGAATTACTATGGGGGATGAATTACTATATGGGGGGTGAATTACTATGGGGGATTAATTACTATATGGGGGATGAATTACTATGGGGGATGAATTACTATGGGGGATGAATTACTATATGGGGGATGAATTACTATGGGGGATGAATTACTATATGAGGGATGAATTACTATGGGGGATGAATTACTATGGGGGATGAATTACTATGGGGGATGAATTACTATATGGGGGATTAATTACTATGGGGGATGAATTACTATATGGGGGATGAATTACTATGGGGGGATGAATTACTATATGGGGGATTAATTACTATGGGGGATGAATTACTATGGGGGATGAATTACTATATGGGGGATTAATTACTATGGGGGATGAATTACTATGGGGGATGAATTACTATATGGGGGATTAATTACTATGGGGATGAATTACTATGGGGGATGAATTACTATATGGGGGATGAATTACTATGGGGGATGAATTACTATATGGGGGATTAATTACTATGCTTACTATGGGGGAATATTACTATACTTACTATGGATGACACATACACATCATTCATCTACTCTTGGTCCGGCCCCCCCGGGTCCAATTATAAAATACTTTATTATTTCATAATAAAGTAATTATAAAATAATTTCTTTGTGTTTGATTCCTATTCAAGAGAATTACTTTATATATAGTCAATATAGGCACAGAGGTAAATTTTTTTAACATTTTCTAATGGTGGTGTGCCTCGTGATTTTTTTCATGAAAAAAGTGTGCCTTTGCACAAAAAAGGTTGAAAAACACTGCTCTAGGGTTTACAGAGAATGGTCCGAAAAAGAGAAAATATCCAGTGAGTGTACAAAAATCCCTTGTTGATGTCAGAGATCAGAAGAGAAGGGGGAGACTGGTTTGAGATCATGGAAAGGCAACAGTAACTCATGTCAATATAGACCAAAATCTCTGAGGAATGTTTCCAACACCTTGTTGAATCTATGCCATGAAAAATTAAGGCAGTTCTAAAGGCAAAAGGAGTCCAACCTAGCAAGGTGTACCTAATAAAGTGACCAGTGAACGTATAAGGCCATAGTTAGGCTCAAAGAAAACAGCGCACAAAATGAAGCACTTACTTTGTATTTCTGGGTATTTCATCATCAGCAGGAGACCCCATCGGAGAGTGGTGGAGGTTGTCTCCATTCCAGCAGCAAACAAGTCCGTCACCAGCATTGTCAGATTTGTATCATTGAAATATAACTCTGGATTTGGCTTTTCCTGAAATATATGCAATTCAGAGTACACAATATTTGATTTAGTTCTCATATCTAGGGTGGGATTTCCATCACTAGGGCATGTAATCTCACATTCTTTGAATTTCAAAGCTTTCCCTCCCACATCAACATACTAGGATCACCTCTTACACAAAATTTTTTGATTGCTGGTCCCAACCTGACTATAAGATTGTAAGAGATGACTGTATAATGTTATGAGAAAAAAATATGGTCAATAACTAACCATTTTGGTAAAGCGGTAGTAAAGTCCATTAACCTCTTCGCGCCGGCCGCACGCAAATGTCCGGCCTCCCTGCATCTGGGCCTTGACGCCAAGCGACCGCACATTTGCATGCAATTAAGAAAAACATATGCTGAGAGCATGCGCCCTGCGCGCTGCCAGCACACATATCCGATACTAACGGAAAGGTCCCGATCCTCTTTCGATCGGGACCTTTACCAATCATGTGACCGCTGTGATGGCGAATCACGGCGGTCACATGACCTTAAAACCCCACCCTGCCTCCCGGCTTCTGAAACCCTTAAAGGGCTGGAAGGCGACGGCGCCAAGGGGTTAAAAAAAAAAAATCCCCCTGCAAAGTAATGGCATAATGTGCTACATTATGAAAGACTTACCTTAAAACAAAGCCCTCCAGTGGCATGCTGTCAGGGCTTCCATCTTTACCCAGTCTTCCTTCCAGGTTCGTGGCCCCAGGGCCATGCAATGGCGAATGGGCGAACCGCAATGATGTCACTCCTGTGTATGCACATGGGAATCGGGATCGCAGCACAGTGCTCTGAAGAGATGTCCATTCAAAGCTCAGTGTGCATCCACCGGTGACATCACCTGCTACAGAGATAGTGAATACCTCCTAAACGGTGTGACATGTTGGTAGAGATAGGGATTTGCTTCCTCGGGTCAGAGCAGCTTACAAGAAGATTGGTGAGGGAGAGTCATGATGCCACAGGAGAGGTGTAGGAAGTATATATGCACAGAATAGTTGAAGTAGGAACATTTAGATGCTTATCTGCAAATTTCTTTACAGTATATGAACAGTGAACAGCATAGTAGTGACATCACCAATTCTCACTCCATGTCTTGTAAGACCAGCAGTTAGAAGCAGCAGTGCCTTGGATGATCTCACACTGCATGTATACAGCTATGAGGTTTAAGGTACAGGAAGTGCACTGCTATTTTTTAGGAGGAATTTTTCAAAAGGTACCTTTTTCAGTGGAATTCTTAGACACAATTAACATATCAAGATTGAATTAATAATGTATTAGCAAATCCCATCCTGGTCCCCAGGATTTGTGTCTGTTATGGAGAAAACAATCTTTATTTTTCTCAGATCCTAATAAGTCCTGGTCTTGGTCCTGGAACCTGGAGGGATAAAGCCTATATTTCTAGCTCCACATTTAACCAGACATCATTAAATACTCTCAGCTGTGCACAGGCCTTTTTTATGTGAGCTAAAATGAGCTTAAGGGCCTCTACTCTCCCTCTGCTGTAAGAACCTGCTGCTGGGTGAAAAGACTGACTGCTGACAAATCACTACAAAGTTACATGCTGCTTCTTTTGGGAACCAAGTATGGGGCTCCCTATTAGTCAGGGATACTGATGAGCTTGGGTTCAGTTCGAAGCAGGTTCAGTCCAAACTCAAAAGACAGTTGACTGTTATTGCTGCACCAATGCGCTTCAAGAGGGAAATTACCTGGCCTGCAGCTGATGTATGCAAAACGGACAGGGATGCTCTTGACATCATTGACCTAATATGGACACATGGCCATGTTAGGTCAATGATGTTACAAGCAGCCCCACCCCTTTGTATATGTGCAGCTGCAGGACATGGTATCACCTGCCTGCAGTTCTTCACCCAGCAATGACAGCTAACTTTTGGGTTCAGAACGACCTTTAGCCTGCAGCTGATGTACACAAAACGGACAGGGATGCTCTTGACATCATTGACCTAATATGGACACAAGGCCATGTTAGGTCAATGATGTTACAAGCAGCCCCACCCCTTTGTATATGTGCAGCTGCAGGACAGGGTATCTCCTGCCCGCAATTCTTCACCCAGCAATGACAGCTAACTTTTGGGTTCAGAACGACCTTTAGTTCGGACCAAACCAAAGCTCCTCTCTAGTCAGGAACTGTCATAAGTTTAATTAGTGGCTGAGGTAAGAAGATGTTTTGTGTTAGTTAGTTTTAATCTATAGACTTGCTGTATGAAGCCTAACTGCATTGAACTGTACAAATCCAAAAGAAAACGAACAGATGCACTCTGAAGAAAATTCAAACACTGGTAACATTATTCATCCAAACCACATGAAGAGAGTCTCCACTTGGGACCTACTCCTCCTCTGACAAGACATATTTCACCCACAAGGCTGTCCCTTAAAGGCTGTCTCTTAAAGTCTCCTACCACTTTAACAGAAATGAGCAGGTAGAAGCAAGTAGGTTTTGTATGAAATGACATATACCTCCTTTTGTTTGACAAGAAAGACATCAATGAAATTCCTCTGATCATTGACATCAAGATGATTCCTCTGATTGGTGAAGGTTTCTCTGATAAAAGTGTGCAATTCCTCCATGCTTGGAATGATATCTCTGTGATTCCCAGGCAGCCATCGGACTAGAGATGGAAATGCATTGTACAACTAAAAGAAGAAACACGCAGTTCATTTCCTGATAATGCTAACCATATTCTGCAAACAGGATAAACATGAGTTATAGGTTTTGTGAAGGATACATATTTCTTTAATGCAAGCAATATACATTCCTTAGTTTGACTTAGTTACTAAGGGTAACTCCACTTTTGTTGACATAAAACATTTCCCAGTTGGTGATCTATGTACATGCAAGTATTTTAACAATCATTTTTGCAGATTCCTACCTTTTTGTTATTCTGAAGAAACAGCTGTTTGTTTCCATGTGCAGAGTGAATCTAATGGGAGTGGTTTTATGATTATCAATAAGCTGTTGCACCTGCAGAGCTCTAATGAGGACATTGGCAAGGTCTGCATCCCTTTAGGTGAGTTTTCCCTTTGAGAGTAGCACTAAAAATGACATTTTTGTTGAAGGGGATGCCTGGAATTTGACTTGTATTAGTGCAGACTTCTTGCCAATCGCACAAGCAGAATATGACATTTTTGTGGGGAGTTCTGTACACCATCTGTGTGCAGAACACCTCCATGTTGCCATATTGCATTTTACAGAAAATTACAGGGCTGCAGATTGAAAAGGAAAGGTAATTTTTAATTACATTCAATTGCAATATGACTTGAGTCCCAATTGTAAATGCTATATATATATTTTTTTTCGATAACTTTTTTCCCTACCTCTTAGGTACCTTGTAATGTGGTTGTAAAGGGTCAAGGCTTTTTACTTTCATGCATTATTGTCAGGGCAGGAGCGATGAAATGGGTAGGCAGGCCAATGTTAAGGTCACGCACCGAATGACGAAAACCACTACCCACAGACCAGAGTCCCTCAGGGCGCGGAGTCTAAGCCCTAGGCTACCCTTCACCAGGGCCCCTGATGGTGGGGATGGACTTGACGCAGCCTAAGACCAGGTCGCGGCCCCCGAGTAACCCCAGCTGCGGTAATGACTGCTGCCAATGGTGTACAGCTGGTGGGAGCTAGATGGGAAAACAAGTGGCGTGGTCAGACAGGCCGGTCTATAACAACGGAGCAGACAGTACAAGACGGTAGGCAAAGAATACTCAGGTCACGGGCCGGGTTCAGCAACGGGAGGTCAGGAAAAGGGTTAAAGCAGAGAATAGTCTTGTCCAAGCTGAGTCGGTTACCGGGAGAGAAATGAGAACAGAACAAGAGCTTGCTGCAAGGGAACATACAGGACACGAATGCAAAGAGCAAGTGCAGACAACAGGCTTAAATGTGATCAACCACACCCCTCTGGGGGAGGGACCGCAGAGGCCTGAAAACATAAAAGGCTTCCACCATGCTTTGCAGAAACCTAAGATGGATGCCAGCACATGGAGCAGCACAACCTCTGAGGAAAGGTAGGACCTTGACAATTATATGCCTCGGCTCTCTGGGGACTCTCCCTCCTCATTAGCTGAGACAGCAGAGGGAGCCATTGGCTACCGCTGCTGTCAATCACAGCCAGTGAGCCAATGTTGAGAGAGAGGGGGAAAGACCAAGCCCCAGCTCTGTGTGTGAAAGGACATGCAGAATAGTAGTTCGGGAGCAAGCCTGCTCGGGTGCCCCCCATAGCAAGCTGCTTGCTCTGAAGCACTTAGCAGCAGGGAGTGGCCAGTAGAGCTGGTGGGGGACCTGAGAAGAGGAGGATTGGGGCTGCTCTGTGCAAAACCACTGGACAGAGCAGGTAAGTATGACATGTTTGTTACTTTTTTCAAGCTGGCCAAACACAATAGCACAGCAGGAGTGCTTCCCCCATCCACCTCAGATGTGTGGATGGGGTAATCGGATCACTTTTTTCATTCAACCTGCTAGTCAAACAAAAAAAAAATATAGACTGCTTTAGGACCAACCTCTTGCACTCCATGTACAACAGTACTGGAGTGTGAAAAGAATAAGCAGTACAATAAGCCAGTCAGTTCATGTACTGACAAGAAGCATGGTGATAGGAAAAGAAAACAAAGTGACAAAGAGATGGGCTTGAAACAGTGCTGCTTCTCCTTCCACTGTCCAGGCACAGGACAACCTGTTCTCAGAAGAAGTGGGCCAAATGATGCTGGTCATCAGACTGAAGAAATCTAGCAACAATAAACTACTGCCAGGGAATTCTCTGGGTTGAAACTGAATTATACAGAAAAAAACTGGTTTTGTTATTTTATCTTTAAATGGGCAAACCATTTTATCTTGTTATTTTTGGCTGAAGTTCTACTTGGGGAACTTATGGATGCCAAAAAGTGGTGCCAGCTTAGCAATGGTAGAATCAGGACAACGTCCCTAGCGCTCCCCCCTAGATTAATTGCTTTGGCTCTATAAACATGTGAATATTGTCTGATTAGATAGCCAGATCAATCTGATCTGCAACTATCAGACAGAGTTTAGTGCAATGCCTACAGTGGAGCTGCCCTCTTTCATGTTAGTGAGTAGACCAGGAAGACCTAAAAAACATTGCTTGAAGTTTTTAGGTGATCTGATGTTCTTTTCCCCCCCAGCAGGGTGATTGGACTCTCCTCCTGGTCAGTTGACCTGGAAAATCTAAGGACATACACTGCCTTTGAGAATGTTAGCCATAAGTACTTTTGACAATGCTAGCCATAAGAATGGACAAAAATCAGGCAAAGGTTTGCTGCATTGCCTAAAACGTGCACTTTTTTCATGTTTCCTTTATTACCCAAGAGTTTTAACAAACTCGCAAGCTCCGGAAAAAGGACTCAAGCTCTCAAATAACCAGAACCAAATATTACTTTATGAAGTGGCCATTTGTGGTTATCGTGTTTCCTTAACACACTAAACCATGCATTACTCCTTTGACAGCCATAAGTGAAATAGGCAAAGTTTAGGTGTGATCTCTACTTTGTGATCTTTTAGTCAACCAGGAAGATCTGAAGACCATTGCTTAGAGTGTTTAGACAAACTTGTTTTCTGGGGTTGGGGGCACTACAAGTGTTTTTTTCTTGGAAATCGGCTTTAATATCATGCTGGAGTTTTGGGGATCTCCTGGTGCTGTAAAGAGAACCTGAGCTAGTGAGAAGACATCTGAATCTACCCGCTTTATGCACCTCAGGCCACCTCATAAGGTAAGGTTAGCTAGCGGTATAATGGTAAAATGTTGCCGTAAATATAACCTTACCAAAACCATTGGTGTACCAACATTTCTGGCATTATCATTGACTATTGTTAAAAGCCTTAAAAGTTTTGGATCATCATAGTCAAAGCGGTGACCAAGCAATATGGACACAATGATATTGGCCACAGCAGCATTCATGAGCATGGTGTTTTCAAATGGTTTTCCTGGAATAAAAGCAAAGATATTATTAACAAATCATAATTTAGTACAAGATAATATTAAACATAATTCTAAGCAAAAAGTGTCCCTGTGTGCAGCAGACCTCTGCCAGTCAACCACAGGTTTGCAAAATGGCAAAAGGTGATAAGCAGAACTGCTAATGGTTCAGCTGTTTTTGGGTTTGGGGAGGGTTTTGTGAGCAGTTTTTTTCACAGAGGCCATGCCTATTTTCAATAACATGTACACCCTCTCCTAGCAAGAGACTGTCTGGGGTGGCCTGGGGGTATCAAGCCTGGCCCCAGTGGCCTGGGGGTACCAGGAGAAGGTGTAAGGTGCCCTCTAGATATTTTTGCTAAATTTAAAGACCCATTGCTAAATTCGATTTTTGCATATAGAGATACTTTACCTGCTCTGCTGCCCTGCTAACAGGCAATTAAATTAGCAATTATAATTCTAATTTACATCAATTCTCATATATACATATTAAGTTATTTAATCATCATTAGTCTGATGGTGGCCTATGACTACTTGCTATCAGGAATTAAACACCAACTATATAATACATGATTCTAATAAGGAGACTAAGTCTGCTTTACTAACCCAGAGAGTGTGAGAGGCCTGAAGAATCTGAGCAGATTACAATAGATGTACTGTAGTATGGCTCTGTCTCTTGGGTACAGATGTGAAAATCTATACATATAGTCAGAACATTTGATGTGAGGTATATGTTATTGTGCAGTCTCAAAACTGTCAACCATGATACACTACTACTGACCTTTGTAGGCTTTCAATACTTTTACCAAACATTGGCTCTCTTTAGTGATTCTGTCTTCTATTGTTCTCTTCCCCATCCCGAAATCACGCAGTGTAGAAAGAGTGAATCGTCTCATAGCTTTCCAGTTATTACCATTAGAAAATATAAGTCCTGAAGAAAAAATAATATAATACATACATTCTATCAGTGTAAAGGGAAAATCAAGGCAACAAGTGAGCTGCTTAAAGCCAAACGGAAAATTAATTATTTATTAATTTAACGCAGTCATTTCACATAAACAGTAATAAATGTACTGATACCCTTCGAGGGGCCCGCTGTAGATTACCCCAAGTTTCCCTTGCTAGTACAGAGGCCACCAGCCAAACACGTAGTTCCATGCACATCGACAACACAGGCTTAGTCTAGGGGATGACTTTTTGTGAATGTAAAAAAATTTAACAGTATAGGGATAAGGGTGCAGGATACTCCAAAAAACAATATCAGAATCAACAGGAGGACAAACGTCTCAGCACAAATCCTATAGCAGCAGGCACACATGAAAATCCAAAAACCAGGTCTTACTCACAATGTCCTAGGAGCTGTCTGTAACCCAACTTCCACACGGCACTCTTCAATGAAGGAGACAAACGATCCTTCTCTATACTGGGACTTCAGAAGGTTTCCCTCCAGCAAAATCCCTTTACCAATCTTCTCTATGCCCCTAGCTCAGCTCCTGCTGAGGCTCAGACTGCAACTCTTGTCCCAAACCAGCTATCTCAGAGGGGTGACAGCCCTAGGAGAATAGGAACCCTCCTAGCAGAGGAAGAACACTCTGCCCCAGCCCCAGGAGAAATAGGAACTCTCCCAGCAAAGGAAGAACACTCTGCCCCAGCCTCCCAAACATTTATCACTCCCAGCCACCTTCTGGGCACCTCTTCCCCAGGGATTGCCTGGATTCAGATAAATATTTTTAAATAAGGGGCTGATCCTCCTATTCTATGTTCTGGAAGCTTCTTCCAGAGTCAAACAGAAGCAATCAACCACCGACCTTAGGAAAACATGAGTGAACTGAAAAAATCAAATCCCCACTCCGCTGAGTACAGTGAATCCAAAATTTAAATTTAGCCTAACATTCTGGGCAGGGTGCTACATAAATATAGACATATTAATTTTTTTACTGCATCATTGTGCTGTAGCAAGTGTTACAATGCACTGGACAGGACTGCACAATAGCACAGTAAAAAAAAGTACAAAAAAGTCACCAGCATGTATTACTGTTGATGCAGCCTGTTTGCATTACAGTAATAAAAAAAATAAAGCTTAAAGCCTATGTTTAGCAAAAAAAAAAAAAAAAAAAAAAATCACAAGGGACGTTGCATACCTTCAGTAGGATGTATCATTTGTGCTGCTGTGTCCTTAGATGAAATCTTCCTCCTCCAATGAACCCTGTCACCTGCCGCTGTAATCTTCCAGTGTGGCAGGGGTTATAAAAGCTAAGAAGCTGTCACAGGCTTTCATCAAGGGGGTCTGACTATGTCCACCCTTTCTGTCTAGCTGCTCCATTCATAGAAGCAATAGCTATATTACAGTTTCTATGGAAGAAACAGGATCTTAAAATGGGAGGATGGTTAATTGATAGCTGCACCCAGCACTGGGACAAGGTCATCTAACACCCAGGGCGAGCATGCCAAATGGCGCCCCCCCAAAACAATGTATGAGCATTATGTGTCAGCAAAAATCCCCTCCCTCCCCCCAAGGAAATATGAGCACTAATCTTCACACCCCCAAGCATAAATTCCATTTTCTAGCCAAAATTCTCCCCAAACTAAAGATCCCCCTCTTCCAGTACAAATCTCTACTTCCAGCTCAAATTCTCTCCCTTCTCAAACCCTCCTCCTAGAACAAATCCTCTACCCCTCAAATTTCCCCTCTGAGCATGAATCTTCTCTCCCCTCCAAATTTTCAGCACAATTCTCCCCCAAAATGTTTTCCCCTCCTAGCACAATTCACCCCAAGCATCCCTATAGCACAAATCCTCCTTTGCAAATCCCCCTTTCTAACAGAAACCCACCCTCCTAGTACAAATCCAAATCTCCAAATCACCTCTTCTAGCACAAATCCCCACTGTGCCCCATCCTGCCCACCTCTTGTCCCGACCCTGGCTGCACCCCTTCATTCATAGAGCACTGGAAGATTATAGAGGCAGGGGGTGAGTGGGGGCATCAGAGGAGAAAGATTTTATCCAAAGGATGATACAGCAGCACAATGGATACATCTTGCGGAAGGTAATTAACATTCATTGTCCTATGTTTTTTCTTTTTTTTAGCTACACTTAGGTTTTAAGTTGGCTGTTAAACTTTCCAGTTTACCCTAATTTGTGATCTGTACAATCCATTGCAGCTTGAAAACAGAACTATTCTTTGGGCGTTTTTGCCTTCTGAAGCCACTGTTGTGTTGATTGCATATATCTATGCATTTTTGTTGTCTTACCTTTTATCTTGCATTTAAACTCCTATTCACAATAAATAATGGAGCTGTTCCCAGCTCCGATAAGGAGCTGTTAGACTTCTGCATGCAGAAGCTTTGGAAAATTAATAATGTCTCCTAGGATGCCTTATTACTGCACTGGAAATTATGAAAACTGAGAGTCCTTTTGATCTGCAACCTTGTCAACGCACCCTAAAAGTTGTTCACATGACCAGTGCGTATGTGGTATAATTCTCTGTATATTGATTTGGTAATAAAATTAAAAACAATAAAAAGGGTATATATACCATGTTCCTTGAACATATCAAAAAACACTGGCACAAAGGGTCTTGCAGAAAACTCCTCAGCATGGTTGACCAGCGCTTCTTTCACCGTCTCATAGCCACACAGTACAACCATCTTCTGAGGTCCTATCCGTAGGCTGTACACTGAGCCAAATTTCTCAGCTAGCTAAAAAAGAAAAAAGCAATGCTTATAAATTAAAAAAATTAGAACTGTATAGTGTATATTGCTACAAACGGCTTGTTCACTGAAAAATCCAATATTTAAAGCCCAACTCCAGCAATGTTTTTAACACTAGTATATCATTAGTTGGTGTCTATGTGTGGCTATACTGCTTCAATGTTGTTGCAGAGCAAGTTGAGATCAGAAGCACCAGTGCCAGGGACATAGCTTCAAATTATGGGTCAGATTAGGAAAATTACATCATTCCCCTTCCAATTAAATCTTTGAAGCACCTGACATTTGCCAACTATTTTTATCTCCTATACACTGGTGTTCTGTGATGGTCTATGCACTCTATCTGTTTTCATCTCTTTTACACTGATGATCAGTGGATAGATCCTTTTATATTACCTCATGTCCACCGATGGACAAGGCAACACTCCATAATAACATCCCTTCTCAAAATGGTGGTTAATACAAATTTCTCCTTTTCATTAGTGGCCAATGTAAATAACACCTTACATTGATGGTCAATGGGGCAGTTCTTCATTACAATGTAGGACAATGCAGGAAAGTCCCCCCCCCCCCCCTCTAACAGTCAGCGGGAAAAAAAATGCTGGTGGTTGCTTTCTTGAGAGAACAGACCTTCTGATTACCCCAGCACTGGCTTTTCCATAAAATGTTAGCAAATGAACTAATGAACTATGTGGGAACCCTTGGACTGGGTATCAATCAGCCAGGAATTATCTACACCCAGGGATGGATGGGAAAACAAGGAGCTTTATACAGGGCTGTTCCATCCAGACCTTACTATGGTTATAATTCTGCCAATGACTGATGAAGTGTCAAATCTCCATTCTGGACTGGGCAGCTAAGAGAAATGTTGCAGATGTGGAGACTGTGACTCTGCTCTGAAAACATGCCTTGTAGTATGATGCACTATCTTTGGCCCTGTCTAGTTCACTATGGATCTTAAAGTACATAAACGTAACCTTTCCTGTACTGTGCAGCAGCTGTCAGAATACAATAGCACAGCAGGGAGATTTGTCCATCAACACTGCTATTGTGGTTGGAGGATCCTGTTAGATTTTTGCATTTGGCCTGCAGGCTGAATGTAAAAAAAATCTATTGATTTTTGGCCAGACCTATACTAGATTCCATAATATTTCATGTATTCCTGAGTATAAAAATGTTATTGGCGGGCAGGATCCATTTACATACACTTCAACCACGCATTTGAAAGCATAAAATCTTACCTTATGAAAAGTTAGGTAAGGTTTACTAATATTTAGAATGTGCAAATTTCCAATAAGAGGCAAACATGGTGGTCCAGGAGGATAACTTGGATGAACTTTTTTCCTCTGAGTAAATGAAAAAATTGCCAAAAAAACACAGGTGACAACAGAGAGGACAATTGTAACTGGATCCATTAAATACATGTCTGTAGTAAAACCTGGAGAGAAACATAGAAATAAAATTCAGAAAATGAAGTGGACAAAAATAAAGCCACAAAAGGAACTAGGAGAGGCTGGGGAGATGAGATTTGTATCAGTTATAATATTGGATGTGCTCCTTGGCTCACTTTCCATACCAGTTAAAAGTGTCAATCATGAAAAAAGCCCAAGGATGACACAGACATTACACTTTTTCATCACTGACATGCTTTGGGGAAAGACCCCCATTATGTAACGTTGTTGTTGTGGGTGTGTAAGGTAGTGCTGTATCTTGTAGAATAGAATTTTATTCAGCTACTCTACAGACCCTAGAAAGTTGTTGGCCCCTTTACGGCATGATGGCTTTAGCAGTGGGTGAGGAGTTATGTGAAACAGGTCTCTAAAACCTCCAGTCTTGAGTTTAGTTGAAAATGTGTATATAAACATAGACAACATGTTTTGGGGGGGGGGTTTGACCTCTTCTATAGGATTTAAAGTAGTTGTAAACCCTCATATACTATATACCCAGTGAAGTGACTAGCCTCAGATGATACACAAAGATTAAACAAATCCTCCTACCTAAGTTGTATCTGTTTATCTGCAGCTATCTGTCCTGTACACCTTCTACAGCACACAGATGAAAGGAATTTTCTCAGCAGCAGAAAGCAGGGGATGGGTATCTGACATCACACACACCACAGGGCTAGAGCACACAGCCCCATGAAATATAGATAATTGGAGGGAAGGGGAGGCTCAGGCTTAGAGAAACATAAGAGCTGAGGGTATGAGTTCGTCTGATGTGCACTGGGGGGAAGAGGGCCATCTCTTGGAAGTCTGAGATGTCAGCTAAATCTATTTGGAGTGAGTCATGCAGATAACAGAGTGAGGAGCGATCAGAGGAAAACCAAACTTGGTGCTTTGGATTCAGGTTAGTACACATGGAGGGGTGTGCTATGTCTATTTTTTCATGTCTGAGGTTTACAACCACTTTAAGGCTTGGAACTGTACATAACTGTAAACCAGAAGGAAATGGTTAAAGACCCTGCTTTTTTTCCATGTATGTCCCATTGGGAAGATTTCTCTTCACTTTCTGTCATATAGACGCAACAGGAAGTGAAAGGGAATTAGGATCCCCTAATAGGCAGCCGTCATGAGAAATGGTGTTCCTATTGGAAGAGTTACCCTTACCTCTTGTTGAGGTGACAACTGTAATAATTTACTCACCTTCATGACCTTTGTTTGTGATTTCAGCCACCTGGAGCTGCATGCACACAGCCTACGTTACTCCATATGGATGCTGCAGGACCCAATTTAACAGACGTGAGGGTGCGAGTACAAGTCATTGCCCAAATGACAGAGTGTCTTTATGGGTAACAGCATCCACGTGAATAAGGCCTAATGGTCACCAAGACAAATAGTAAGGGTGAATCTCCCCTAATGGTACACTGACAGACATAAAAATACTAACAGGGGTTCTAAGTCTTGGCTTTAGATATCAAAAGTGCAAATACCCATTAGCAACGCACTATACAATATACAGATTAGACAAAACTAAAACAATATTCCAGTGTGTGCAATCCAATAATCAAAATTTTGTGTTATGGTAAACAAAAAAAAAAAATCATACAGGCTACACGATTGTGATATTTCATATCAGTGTACTGAGACCTCCACCTCTCAGACTTACACTCATTAAACTGTTATGGCCTCCTAATAAAGGTAAATCAAAAAGCACTCAATTTTGTACTTGTTGGAAATCCAATAGGACCTTCAACACCCCCAATCAGCAATAATAGCCGTTTTTCTGTGCTCTCAAATATCTGGTGAAAAAAAGAGTGAAAAACTTGAAATATTAAAATATTTAACAATACAGACAGACAAAAACCATAAAAAAACACATCCAGCACTATCTGGGTAAAGCATAAATAGCCAAATGATTCACATAGTCTCCACATACCAACAAATTTGGATGCATTTCTCCTAAACATCTCTCTCCTGAAGAACTCTCTTCTGATATTTTATTCACTATATGACCTGTACTATATACTACTGTTTGCAATTCAGGAGGTTATGAATATAGCTTTTCCCAGGTTGGATGAATTACATCATATGTTGCTATGGATAGGCTTCCAAGGGATTTGCTCACAGAGGTCACACATTCTATATGTTTTTATTACTGTGTGGCCATTTTTTTAACATTACTAATCTTATTAGTTAAGCTGAAATAGAAAATTGGATTTTAATATGTTTGTGTACTGATTATTTTTTTTAGCAATAATACACCTTAAACTCCCCCCTTAACTCCCCCTTCCTTTTTGTCCTGAGGGACATACTGTATACTGTTGTTTATTACTACTGGGATGTAGTGGAAAAACGTCCTCTGTTTATACCCCTTACACTATAGCAGTCAGAAGTGTGTGGAAAAGCCCATGATCCTGCTGACATATACCTTACATTGGTGGCAGCAAACTGTTTAAAGAAATCTAAACAGAATTAAAATGGAATGCAGTGTACATACTATAGCACCTAACTGTTAAAGTCTGTGCTGTGGTTGGTAAGCAACTGTGGTTTGCCAGCTTGCTCCCCCACCACTATTCGGCCATGCTGGAGCAAGGAGATAAAGATACAGAATAAAGACACAGAATAATTATAAGTACCGCCCCTTGATGACGTTATGGTGATGAAACGCGTTGGGCGTGGCCTACTCGATGCTGACGTCAGGACGTACTGTTCCTAATGTGTGTTGGAGGTGATCCGCGGTGAGCGGGGATCTTCGTTTTCTCAGTTGCTGTGTATCGCTGATTAAGCTGGTGCCTGTCTGGACACCTTTTTTGTGAGTTCCTTGGAAAATTTATTAAATATGTAATTTGAAAAAAACGTATTGCACCATTATGTTTTTCTTTTATCCCTGAGTACCTCATGCATTATGGAGAGATGGATTTGAATGGAGAGATATATTATGAGATCTTTGGCTGCAGAGTATTGCTTCTGGTAGTGATATGCTGTTCCCTATGCGGACTGCCATTATTGATCATCAGGATTTGATTATTTACTACATCTAATACCTGGATATCATTTCACCCATCGCTCCCAGAGCACAAGTGCTATTGCTGGTCTATAATTTGATCAGCATTTAGTTCTGGTGAGTTTATTTAATTCATTTGGTGGTGGATTATTCACCGTTCACAAAAGATTTTTTTGAGTGACTTTTTTGGATTTGCACAGATTTAATATGGACACTTATTTATTTGGTGATATATTTAGCGCATGCCTATGTGATATATTACAGAATAATTACAGTAGTTCTGACTGCACTGTCACAGAAAACACTGAGGCCGTACATTCCACTTCCCCTCTGAACGCTGCCAGAAGGAAGGTACTGTAGAGCCCTGTGCCTGCTCTGCTCTCTTTGTACTGATAAAAGGCTAAGCCAACATCCTTCCACAGCTGTGAGCCAGTTTGGAGGAGATTACTACAGTAGTAGCTGTCAGTTTGTGTTGTGAATAACGATAGCTGGAGAAG